TTCATAAAAAATTTTTTTAAGAGTTTCTAATGTTTATCTCAGCTAGGACTTCAAAAGCTACAATAAAGAAATGAAGACTTTCAGCAAAGTTGCAGAATACAAAGTCAACATGTAAAAATCAGTGGTGTTCCTATAGACTCACAATGAACAATCTGAAAAGGAAATTCAAAAAACAATTCCAGCCCTGGTAAGGTATCTCACTTCTTTAGATTGTCATCCCAATATGCCAAGGTTGTGGGTTCGATCCCCAGTCAGCAGGGCACATACAACAATCAACTAATGAATGTATAAATAAGTGGAACAGTGAATGTATGTCTCTCTCTCTTTCCCTTCCTTTCTCTAAAATCAATAAGTAAAAATTAAAAAACAAAAAAACCCCCCACCAATTCCATTTTAAATATCATCCAAAAGAATAAAATACTTAGGAATAAGTTTAACCAAGGAGATGAAAGATTTATAAAATAAAAGCTACAGTGTTGCTAAAACAAATTAAAAACATAAATAAATGGAAAGACACTTCCTGTTCATAGACTGGAAGACTTACTATTAAAATGTCAATATTACTCAAAGAGATCTACAGATTCAATACTATCTCTATCAAAATTCCAATGATGTTTTTTGCAGAAATAGAAAAATATGTCCTAAAAATCATAAGGAATCTTAAGAGACTCCGAATAGCCAAAACAATCTTGAACGAAGAACAAAGTTGGTCACATACCTTCTGATTTCAAAACGTTAATAAAAAGCAAAATTAATCAAAACTGTGGTACTGGCATAAAGACAGACATATAGATCAGTGGAATAGAATAGAATCCAGAAATAAACTCTTGCATATATGATCAAATGGTTTTTGACAAGGGTTCCAAAACCATTCAATGGGGAAAGGACAATCTTTTCAACAAATGGTGCTGGGAAAACTAAATATCTACATGCAAAAGAATGAAGTTGGGCCCTTACCTTACACCATAAACAAATTTTAACTCAAAATGGATCAAAAAGCTAAACATACCAGCTAAAACTATAAAACTATTAGATGAAAACATAGGGCAATAGCTTAATAACATTGGATATGGCAATGATTTCTTGGATATAATATCAAAAGTACAGGCAATAACAACAGAAGAGATAAACTGGACTATATCAAAATTAAAATATCCTGTGCATCAAAGGACACAATTAATATTGAAAAAGCAATCCAGAGAATGGGAGAAAGTATTTTCAAATCATATATCTAGTGAGATTGATATATATACTTATATGGAACTATAAGTATATGGAACTATAACTATCCAAAATATACAAATAACTAGAGGCCTGATGCATGAAATTCATGCATGGGAAGGGTCCCTAGGCCTGGCCAGCGATCAGGGCCGATCTGTGGGGCGACTGGCGGGGTGATTGGGGGGCCCCCACTGGCACCCGCCTTGGCTAGCCTGGTGCCGCCCACTCGCCGGCCCTGTCTCCCGCAGCCAGTTGCCTTCCTCTGCGGGGCGACCGGTGGGGTGATCGGGGTGGGGGCCCCGCTGGCACCTGCCTTGGCTGACCTGGGGTCTGCGGGCTAGGGGCAGTTCCTGTATTGAGCATCTACCCCCTGGTGGTCAGTGCGCGTCACAGAGACAGGTTGTTCCACTGTTTGGTCAATTTGCATATTAGCCTTTTATTATATAGGATAGGATTATATAGGATTCCTATAACTCAATAACAAAACAAATGCGACCTGATTAAAAAGTCTTGAATAGACATTTATCCACAGATATACATATGACCAATAAGTACAGGAAAAGATGTTCAACATCACTAATCAGGAAGGCAATGCAAATGAAAACCACAATGAGATACCACCTCACATCCATTAGGAAGGCTACTACCAGAGAGAGAGAAAGAGAGAGAGAGGAATAAAGAAAGAGAGAAAAAGAAAGGAAAAGAAAAACAGAAAATAACAAATTTTGGGCAGAATGTAGAGAAACAGAAACCCTTGTGCATTGTTGGTGAGAATGTAAAATAATGTAGCCACAAGGGGAAACAGTATGGAAGCTCATCAAAAGTCAAAAATAGAATTGCTATATGATCCAGCAATTCAACTTTTATGTATACCCAAAATAAATGAAAACAAAATCTTGAAGAGATATTTGTATATCCATGTTCACAACAACCAACATTATTCACAACAGCTAAAAGAGCATCCCAAATGTCCACCAGTAAATGAATGGATAAGCAAAATATGGCATGTACATACTATGGAAAATTAGAAATTCTATCTTAAAAAGAAAGTTAATTCTGAAATATGCTACAACAGGGAGAAACCTTGAGGACATTATACTAAGTAAAGAGAGCCAATCACAAAAAAGACAAATACTGTATGATTCCACTTATATGAGGTACATGGAGTAGTCAAAATCAGAGACAGAAAGTAGAATAGTGGTTGCCAGGGGCTGGAGGGAGGGTTGGACAGGGAGTTATTGTTTAGTGGATATAGAGTTTCAGTTTCACAAGATGAAAAGAATTATAGAGATGGATGGTTGGTGATGACTACACAATATTATGAATGTATTTAATACCACTAAACTGTACACTTAAGAATGGTTAAGATGTTATATTATGTATATATATTTCATGACAATTTTTCTTAAAGTAAGTATCCTCACTTCTCCCTGTCACCTGCCCCCCCAAAATCGAAAGTAAGAATTTTCTAAGATTTCCTAAACATTTAAATTTAAATTTTCTCATATTATTATTTGGGTCATTCTTTCTGTTTCCTCCAAGAAATCAGGAGTTAAAAAAAAAAAAGTACCATGGAGATTAATAAGTAATCAGTATGTGAAACATCTGTTACAACTTTTTTGTAGTAACCCATTGTCTCTAGCTGGGAATTGATAGTACAAATCCTTGCTGCTTCAGAATGATAGCAACAGCTAACAGAAACATAGCCTACTATGTGCCAGACATTCTTCCAATGCTTTAAATGTATTAAGCTATTCTATATAATAAAAGGTTAATATGCAAATGGACCCTAACGGTGGAACGACCAGTCGCTATGACGCGCACTGACCACCAGGGGGGCAGACGCTCAACATAGGAGCTGCCCCCTGGTGGTCAGTGTGCTCCCACAGGGGAAGCTCTGCTCAGCCATAAGCTGGGCTAATGGCTGCGAGCGCAGCAGCGGTAGCGGGAGCCTCTCCCACCTCCTTGGCAGCACTAAGGTCAGTTGGACATCTCCTGAGGGCTCTTGGGCTGTGAGAGGGCGCAGGCCAGGCTGAGGGATGCCCCCCACCACCCAAGTGCATGAATTTTCATGCACTGGGCCTCTAGTTTAATATAATGAGGTAGCTATTATTAGTATCTTTATTTTATAGACTAGAGGCCCGGTGCACAAAATTCTTGCACGGGTAGGGTCCCTAGGCCTGGCTGACCATCAGGGCCAATCTGTGGGGCGACCGGCAGGGTGATCAGGGGCCCCCCGCTGGCACCCACCTTGGCCGGCCTGGGGCCTGCAGGTTGGGGGCAGTTCCTGTGTTGAGTGTCTGCCCCCTGGTGGTCAGTGCGCGTCCTAGCGACAGGTCATTCCGCTGTTCGGTCGATTTGCATATTAGGCTTTTATTATATAGGATAAGGAACCTGAGGCACTATAAAGTTAAATACTTGCACAAGGTCACCACCTCTATTCAAGTGGTGGACATGGCTTTCGAATAGTGGTAGTCTAGATGGAGAATTCATGGATTTAACCACTCCATCATATGGCCTCATTCTCAGCTCAGCACTATTCCCATCCACTTGCAATCAATGAAAGATGAAAGTTTTAGATTTAATCCTAAAGACAAAGTATGATGACAAGGCACGATGACAACTTGCCTTCAGCATAGTACATACTAGTTAATTAGACTTAATCCAATTACAAAGCCTGGTCTATCAGTAAACCACCCACTCTGCCCCCAACATATACACCTGGTTCTTCCTTTATATTCCCAGATAAAATGATACACTACAAAATCCCTTAAAACCAGGACTGTATATGATTCATTTTTATTCATAAGGACTGGCACATAATAAGTGCCCCCAAAACATTTCTTGAACAATTATCTCCAAGTACACTGGGACTTACAAGAATATTTCTGGGTTCATTTTTCAGAACCCATTAATTAATGAGTCCATTATCATGAGATTTTACCAAACTAAATATACCATGGGAAAGTTCTAACATAGACCCACATATTGTACTTCAGATTCAGGTGGATTATGTTTTAATTAAACTCCAGTATAATGTTAAAACTATAAAGTAGTATAGAATTAAACCTATGATTGTAAGAAACAAATACAATATGAAGCATTTCCCACCCATGACAAAAATGTATTACAGTAAAGTTACAGAATTAAATAGGTATATTAAAGTTTAATATCAAACCTTGAGTTTAGCTTCAATAGAACATTCCTTTATATGGAATACACTTTAACACAATCACCAATATTCATATACTCATACTAACCACGACTGCTGTATCATCTGCTCACTAACTGCATTTCATATAAATCTTTAAACTCTTATTTCATTACACTGTAATGATCTGTTCATATGACTCTATCAGACTGCAGGTTCTTTGAAGGCAAACTGTCATTTGCCTTAGTATCTAAGTATTGGTATCAAATAGATTCCCAAAGATTTCTCAAATGAATTAATTAAATTTAGAGGTTATGTAACTTGGCTGAGATCAGAGAGCATGTAGATTAATTAAATCATAATTCAAATCCAGATATTCAGTTAAAAAATTCTATGCTCTTTCCATACATATTACTACAAGTAACTATTAAACTGTGCAAAAGCTACATACTGTAGTAGTTGTCTGTAGGTGAAAAGCTACAACTTAACCATAAAAATGAATCACAAAAAATTGTAATAGCAAAGATACCTTAAAAATGAGATCTTTGAACTGTCAGACAAAATTAGTTATTATTATTACAGTCTCAGTACAATGCTTTTGTGGTAAGTATTGAAGAAAATATGTTACCTTGTACTTCTTTATCGTGACACTCCTTTAGTTTTGTCCAAAGATCCTTAAAGTCATTAGATATCTCTGCAGAACTAGGGCTTCCACAACTGCTTCCAGAGACGTTCATCTTGCTTGAATATGCTCCACAGTTCTATTTGCCTAATGTCTTTTTTGACTTTTTCTGTTACATTATACAGGTATGAAGTTGTCTTTGGACAGCTGAAATACCTGAAATGACAGATTACAACATAAATAAATCCTGCATTTACCTTTATGTAATTTGAGTCCAGCCAGTTTTCCTAATTGACTTACAATCAATAACGTTGAGAATTTGGGGGAGGAGGGGTGTGAAGAAAGATGATTATGGTGAAAAAAGCCCTGATTTTAATAATCTGGATTTTAGTTAAGCTAAATTTTCAGGCAAATTTTCTCTTATTCCTCCTAGAAAAAAGTAATTACCTAGATTATGTTAAAATGAAAGGATACTAATATAGAGATCAATATTGATACACCATTCTAAAAGAATTTGCTTTTTATACTTTTAAATTGATATAGAATGCAACAATATATTGAACCAAAAACGGAAAAAAACATTCTAAAGTATTCTTGACTTAACCATTCTATCATCTATCTATCTATCTATCTATCTATCTATCTATCTATCTACACACACACACACACACACACTACATACATACAAAGCCACATACATTATAAAGAATAAGAAAGATGATTGACGTATTAACACATATGAGTATCTGAATAACTTTCTCATGAAGTCAGTGAGCAAGATACAGATACAGCAAAGATCTATGAACACAGAAACATTTAATAACAAGGCAACTAGGGTTAAGGTATTTTGTACCTCTCTCAGAGCAACGGTGAAAAGGTTGATTATTTGTATAGCCCTTGAAGGAAGCAACAGGCTATTAAGAAGTTAAAGTGAATTAATAAATATTTTAATGTGTTCTTAAATTGAAACCATTAACTAGCTGCCATTAAAAAAGTAAAATGATTAACAAGTTTATTAAACCTCACATCTGGTTCCTTAGTCAATGCCTTACTAACAAGTACCCAAACTGATATGTCTTTTGCTAACCATTTCTTGAGGTCTCTGATGAAGAAGCTAAAATAAGAGGTGACATTTCTAAAGGGAGCAAGATGATGTGTGAATCCACTTGGTAAACTGTAAAGTACTGCAGCCCTGGCCAGGTAGCTCAGCTGGTTAGAGTGCCGTCCGTCCCCAATATGCTGACATTGTGGGTTGGATCTCCAGTCAGGGCACATACAAGTAGCAACTAATGAATGCATCAATAAGTGGAACAATAAATCTATCTCTGCCTCTCTCTAAAAAATCAATCAATAATAAAACAAATTTTTAAAACTGTAAAGTATTACAATAATAAAACTATTTTTATTAAGTTTTCAAAAATTGTGACTATACTTTTTTGAAACAATCAGTGAAAACGGAATATAGGCTGAATTTTAGGTAATATTAAGGAATTACTTTTTAATTTTCTTGGGTATGATAATGATGTGGTCATGTTAAAAAAAAAAAAGTCCTGCCCTAACTGGTTTGGCTCAGTGGATAGAGTGTCGGCCTGTGGACTGAAAGGTCCCAGGTTTGATTCCGGTCAAGGGCATGTACCTGGGTTGCGGGCACATCCCCAGTAGGAGGTGTGCAGGAGGCAGCTGATCGATGTTTCTCTCTCATTGATGTTTCTTACTTTCTATCCCCCCCCCTTCCTCTCTGTAAAAAATCAGTAAAATATATATTTTTTAAAAAAGTCCTTTATCTGATAAAGATATATACTGAGGTGTTTACAGGTAAATTGACATGTTCTCTGAGATTTGCTTTAAAATACTCCAGCTAAAATGAACAAAAGGATGCTGGGTGGGGAGATGAAACAAGAAGGGCTGCACTTGGGTAATAACTGAAGCTGGACAATGGATGGGCAGGTATATGAGGGCGTTCTTAATTTTAGTGTCTCTCTTGTGTACGTTTATTATTTCCATAACTAGAGGCCCGGTGCATGAAATTCATCCACAGGGGGAGGGGGGGAGTGTCCCTCAGCCCAGCCTGCACCCTCTCCAATCTGGAACCCCTCGGGGGATGTCCGACTGCCGATTTAGGCCCCGATCCCTCTCTCACAATCCAGGACCGCTGGCTCCCAACCGCTCGCCTGCCTGCCTGATCACCCCCTAACCACTCCCCTGCCAGCCTGATCAATGCCTAACTGCTCCTCTGCCGGCCCAATTGCCCCCAACTGCCCTCCCCTGCAGGCCGATCGCCCCCAACTGCCCTCCCCGGCCAGCCCGGTGGCCCCCAATTGCCCTCCCCTGCCGGCCATCTTTTGACCACATGGGGGTGGCCATCTTGTGCGAGGGTGTGAGGGTCAATTTGCATATTACCTCTTTATTATATAGGTTGGTTTTTTAAAAAAGTGGGACTGGGTGCATTGCATTAGTACAGTTTTATTTCCAAAGAGACTTGTATTCTATTTCTTTTTCTTTTTTTTTTAAAAAATATATTTTTTATTGATTTCAGAGAGGAAGGGAGAGGGAGACAGAGATGGAAACATCAATGATGAGAGAGAATCACTGACCAGCTGCCTCCTGCAGGCCCCCTACTGGGGATGGAGCCCACAACCCAGGCATGTTCCCTTGACCGGAATCAAACCCGGGACCTTTCAGTCCACAGGCCGACACTCTATCCGCAGAGCCAAACCGGCTAGGACCTGTATTCTATTTCTTAACCCTAAAAGATAAATCAATGGGCCAATACTACAGTCAATAAAAGCTGCCACTTATTAAGTGTTCACTATATGCCAAGAATCATGATGTTCTATATTCATTTTTATCCTAATTTTCAGAACTCCATAAAACAGCTACTATTATTAATTTCATTTTAGAGTTGGAGAAACAGGCTGAAGAGATTGACTCCAAGGTGATATTGATGGGACAAGGCTTTATCACAGCTGGAACTCAAGTCGAGGTGCCAATAACTACAAAATACTGCTAAGTAACGCAAACCAGGTAAATTCATTGTTTCTATTAAACAAACAGTGTAAAACAAAAGTTTTAATTACTTATATGGATTTAAAAATGAATAGTATTAACTTAAAACCAATAGTGTAAAAAAGTGTCCTTTAAGAAACATATCTTCAGAGGTGGTAAAAAAGTTATTCCCCCTCCCCCCCCCCCCCCCCCAAACAATTCATCAATACTAAACTTGAAAATTCTGGCTCACAAAACCATCTCCACCCTATGGGGCACGCCCAGCACTTTTTGTGGGCATCTCTCTTGGCAGCGAACCGTTATTCAGGGCACGACGGTGCGCGCTGAGATCTCAGAGATGCGCCTCTGGCCTCTCCAGCCGCGTCCTGGGCCCCGAGGGCTGTGGTCACAGGACACACTCCTGTGCATCCCGCAGCGTGTCGGCCACCACACTGAAGGCTCTCGATGGAACATTTCCCGTCACACCACCCGCATTCCCACACAGGTCGGGCAAGAGCCGCGCCTCGAGCCACGCAGGAGCCCTAAACGGGACGGGACTTGGGCGGTGCTCTTACTGGCAAAGCCGAGGTCCACAGGCTCCCTTTCCAGGACCCTCAGCCGTCAGCCTCTCCTCCCGCGCGCTCCCCAGAGGCTCCCAGGGCGCCTGGCACCGAAAGCGAGAGGGGCCACGCCCGCGCGGGGCAGGCGTCTGGGCCGGCCAACAGATATTTGAAAAGGTGCTCAACATCACTAGATTTAAGGGAAATACAAATAGAAATTACAGTGAAATGCCACTTCACACCTCTTAGAATAGCTATTATCCAATAAATAAGTGTTGGAGAGGATGTGGAGAAGAGGGAACCCCCATATATTGCTGGTGAGAATGTAAACTAGTACAGCCACTATGGAAAACAATATGGAGGTTCCTCAAAAATTAAGATAGGAGCTACCAACAATCCCTCTTCTGGGTGTCCAGCGCGCAGCTCCAGGCCGGAAGTGGCCTCTCCGACCCAGCGCTCCGGGTCGGGGGAAAGAGGTTCCTCCTACTCACGGCTTCCAAGGCTGACTCGAGATTCTCGGAAGCCGGCGGGGATGCCGGCGCGCGTCCGGGCTGTGAGGAGACGGCCGCCGGCTTTTCTC